TTAGAAGACTCCCCACCAGAAATTTCTCCCAAAAATCCTTCAAAATTTTTATTTTCGTTTTCCATAAAAAATAAAGATAAAATCAACCGAAATCCAATACCTTCTACCTCAAGCTTTCACGTCGGGTTCACCACTTATGTCGTATTACGTGCTTTCCTGCTCGAGAACGCGCCGGGCGTCTGGCTGTAGAAGGTAGTATGGAGATTCGCCGATAGTCAAGCAGTCTATCAGTTTTTGACTGCTGGAATATAAACGACTGCAACAATGTACCGTAAATCTATACGGGTGCTCTTCGACTGCTTGTCGGAGTCCTTTTTGCCCCAGCCGATAGGTCTCTAGACGTTACAGAGAACCCCGTACAACCCAAACTGTTAACCTTCAATACTGCTTTGTACTTATGATCTTGTATCCACTGACTGTCTTGTTAGATTAATCCAATAAATTTCATTCACTCCGCATACTCAATCCTATAGACACCCTTTTAATCCTTCAATCACAGACGTAACTCGATTTCACAAAACAGTCAAGAGTATTCAAACCCACTTCATTTAAAAATCCCGATTCACCATTACAACACTGACTTCAGCAACGATTGCCTCAGTCTTCCCCAAAACTCTACGAAGAAGAAAAATCCAAATCCTATGTCTTTCCTTCCCCGACCCGAAGCATGAAGCTCCTCTCTCTAATTCCCTTGATCTTCAAAAACCTCCCATCCCCCAAAATAAAAATCCACACCACTCCAAAACTATATCCCCCCTAACCTTATCCTCTGAATTTCTTCAATCTTCCGTCTTAGATCCGGAATTGGCTCCCACCTCAAGCTTGGATCCGAAATTGGCTCCCACCTCAAGCTTTCTCCTCCGTTTTTACCTTTAAGAAATCCATTTACCGAAAACAACGTTCCCTGAGACGGCACAGAGAACAGGACAGCCTGAAACAGAATCGAACCCCGTAATCGGGACCACATTGAGTCGCCCGACCAATTCAGGTCCTATATTGGGAAAGATGCCTGTAGTAACCTGGATGTTCCCGTAATTGGGTCAAATTGGTCCTTGCGTCAGATTGGCTAAGACCCGTAGTAAGACCTGGATTTCCCGTAACTAGACTGCATTGGGTTGCCCCACCAATACAGGTCTCATATTGGGTAAGAGGACCCGGATTGGATTCTCGAAATTGGATCCAATTGGCTCCTCGAACCCGTCGTGTGAATTGGTCCTTCTCTTCCTGCTGACTCCCGTTATTGGAATCGAACGGGGCATTCCAGTATGCCTCGGCTGACTGTAACGGAGTCACTGAACCTGACCACTCAGTATTTGTACTGGAGTTGGTCGATGCTCCCAATATTCGAGATAACTGAATATTAATAAAATTCCCCTTTCTTTTTATTTTCACTGTATACTCGTGTTACAACACGACAACGGAATAGCTTGAAACGGAATTAAAGCCTCCGTAATCAATTCCTCATTGGGTAATCCAATCGAGTCAGGTTCTATATTGGGTAAGAGGTCCGTAACAGGACCTAGATTGGATGTCCCTATAATTGGGTTAATTTGGCCCTTCGCATCAAGCTCACCCAAATGCTGAATTGGTCCTTTCCCTTTTTTCTGACTCCTAGTAAGAACGGCTTGGATACATTCCACCCGATTTACCGAAGAATCTTGAGGACCTTGATTTATCTCCACTATTTTTCCTTGGTTTTGGATTTGTTGATCTTGATTATTGAAATTGAACGGAGCATTACATTGTTGATAAGTATGCCCCAACTACTTGTAATTTCCACAAACTAGCGCATAATCGTCACATGCTCTCGGATTGGGACATTCACTAGCATAATGATCAATTTGTCTACAACAAAAATAACAAAGTGGTCTTCTTGCACCCCCATCAGGCATGTTGGGTGTTTCCACCAATATATATCTACTACGCTTGTTCCATGTAGGGTTAGAAAATGATCTTGGTTGTCCCGTTGGAATGGAGGAAACTTGGTTCGATGACGTCAATGGAGCATATTGCTGATACCTCTGCTGCTCCTTCCGGTAATTCTGGAGGTTTGATGCAGACCCCTGATTAAAATTAGAACTTTGAAAGTTATTGAATGCTCAATTTTATCGATTAGATCGATTTCAATTCCATCCAAATATATTTTTCGATTCAACTTGATTAACATTCCAGTGAGTTGGTGGAATCATGGTCTGATTACTCAATTATTGTTGCCTTTGTAAATTCTAACAATTAGTTGTTAAGTACTTTCCTCCGCAAAATGTACATTGACCCATCATTTGTGAGGATGAAGGGCATTCTGTTACCAAATGACCATGGCCCTTACAATTATTGTACCAAACATTGGTCCTAGTATTGGTAGGCTTTTGCCTCTTCTCCTTATCCTTGGACATATTGACAGCCATTTCCTCTATTTTCTTCGTCAGATTCAACAACAAGGCTTCATTGGAATCTTTTGGGGCTGGTATTATTGGTAACTCTGCCGCAGTTAACGCTTGTTGTTGATACGAAAAATAGGGAGCATACGTTGTTGTCTCGTTCGATGGCATAGCTTGCAATGGGGTAATATTAACTGGCCCCTAAATATTGGTATTGAAATTGGTCCTTGTATCTAACATGAGTGGATAAGCACTCACTGATCTGTTCAAAGTCGGATTTTGATAATTGCCTTGAATTGGAATCATCGTAGCTCCCACAGTTAAAAACTGCTCATAATGGCATTCCTTCCAAACCTTGGCTCTATTAAGGAATGAAGACACCGTAACGAGTTGAGCTTCTTTCACAAACATTTTAAACTCTAGTGGTTGCAAACCATTGATTAATATGGATAAGATAAATACCTTTGACATTTGGTGATTCAGCCACTTACTGAGTGTATCAGCCACCCAGCCATAATACGATTCCATCACTTTCCCTAGGATCATTTTGCTGTTCATTAACCTCTCTCGAAGACGATCCTCGAAACCTATTGGTAAAAAATGGGTTAAAAATGCATTCTTCAATGCTACCCAATTCGAAAATTGACCCACTGATTGGCGATTGTACCATTCAAACGCCATGTCTTTTAAGGTTGCTAGCAACCATCGTAATCAAATATCTTCAGTTCTTCTATTATTGGGTATATATTCTATCAAAAATTGAGATAAATATTGATGGAGATCCGTACCCAAAAAGTCCCTAAAAGTAGGTAGTGGAGCCACGCTCTTTGTACGATCGCTCACGTCATCCATTTGTACTGCTATTGGAACCGCTAGACCACCCATCGTCATTCAAAAGAAAAATGTGTCACTTAATCTCTTATTAAAATTACCACTACCTTTCCAAATTATCTTTTTCAAACTTTCCAACCTCCTTAATTTACTATTATTATTCCTAAAAAAGTTTATCAGTTCAATTGGAGGTGAAAATGATGGATTTTGAAATACATTGAATTGGCGCTTATTGACAAGCAATTTATGCTATTCTACGGAACCAGTTTTTACAAAATCAATAATTTTCGCTATTGGGAAGGTACCCAACAGAGTATCCAATTCTTCTATGTTTCCTCTACTTGCAATTAACAAGCTCAAGAGATACGTTGGACCGTTGACAAAATTTCCTACAAGTGCTCTTGGCAATTTTCTTAATGGTATATATGTCTGAAATATTAGAGATCAGTCAGCTTATGGATATACTCGGATATGTCGACAAGCATGAAACCATGGCTTAATCCAACTTTGTCAACGCTTTCTTTTTAACTTACGTTCTTGCTCGTTTTGCAATGATTCTCTTCCTTACGCTCTCTCTTGTCTTTCTTTTAATTGACATGTTTTCTTTATTGCAATGTTTTTATTCTTAATAACCATAATCTTTCATTATATACTATTGAATTTGCTTCCTATTTCCCAGCTACTCATCCGGTAGTTAATTCCTAACACTCAATGTTATTGTCAATCCCCCCCAGCAATGCCAAAATGTAGTTGTTGTTTTACTTATTCTAAAATTCCTTCGAGAATAAATCTGTATAGGAGAATTCAAACACAGGGAAAGACTAAGCGCATGAGCTTTACTAGTTAGGGTCACAAAATTAATTATATTCCGAACTACTAAAACACTAAGAAATACTACAATGCTTCGTCCTAGTAACAATAATCCTTCATCAACTGATAACTACAATGTGCAACCTTGCACTCTCAAAAGACCGCTCAAAATTCAATAAATTCCATCCAACACCAAGAATAACAGACTTCACTCCAACCAATCGAAATTCACAGAATTCCCGTAATCATAGACTTCCTCTGTCGAAACACACACACACATAACTCTCAATAAACAACAATCGTAATCTTCCATCTATAATCAATCTTCCAATAACTTCTCATATAATTCAATCACTTAGTACTCCAATTACATAACCAATAACTAATAAATTAATCGCTGATTTATTCCACAGACTCACTTCTCAGTATTCAAAAACTATCTATTACTCTTCAACAACAAAGAAAATAAAATAAAATAAAAAAACAAAGAGAAAGCACCAAGCTTAACCTCGGCTCATGATTATCACAGTCTTGCACCTTGACAAACTTCTACAACTCCTATATAATTGCTACTGATTTTTAGATTCTAATCATAATCCTATAATAACTACTTTTAATAACTGAATCAATCATCCATCCTCCTAAACTAACTATTCTATGGACTATTAATCTATTTTACAAATATCTTACAAAAACGAACTAATATCTATTCTACATAGGCTCAAGGCCGTAGCACCGAGCCCTAAATTCTAAACATCAGGCCTGATTCCCGCCCATCTAGGAAATTAAAAGATTTCCCGAAGATCCAGCCCCGAAGTCTCTTATCGCCGGAACTCAGAACGATGAAGTTTCACGACGACAGTTGAGAAGTCGACGCTCGTTCGTCGGTCGGTCGGTCGGTCATTTTCAGTGACGTCCGGGAATCCGACGAAAGAACGTCGTCACCTTCGCTGAATTGTTATTCATATGTATATTTCGCAACGCCGATCTGTTCATGGTCGAAGGTGATTGTGTTTGTGTTTGTGTTTAGTTCACTCGAATTTCGGTTTGTACTGCAATTGTGCTCTAGAAAGTTTTGGTTGTACATTGTTTCGTATTTTATTTTACTTTTACTTTTAATTCGGACTGTGCTTGCATCGTGGAATTCATATGCTCATCGTGCATCGTGGAATGGCCGATGTGTGCGGCGCTTTGTGACCTCTAAATTGCCTATCCTGGAGTTGTAGAGGCATTCAGACTCGACTAGGAGACAGTTTGATGCATCGTGGTCAAGTGTTGGCGTCAACGAGCTTTATGTTGCAGAAGCGTAGGAGACGGACGGAGTTGTGATTCATGGACTGCAATTCTGATTAGGAGGAAGGCCCTGATCGTGTGTTACGAATATGCTGAATCTGTTGAAGCGTGCGGAGAGGGGAAGTAAGCTTGCAGGGAGAAGAGCGCCACATTGGAACCGAAGAATGGAAAGGTAGAGGAAGGGCCTAGGAGTCCTACTCCAGCAAAGCTGTTTCTCAAATTGCTAAGCTCTGGGAATCCAAAGAGAAGGAGACGTAAGAATGCAACCTAAAAGTGGTCGAATATGAAGAATTACTCCGGCGTATTGTGTCATATTGAATTATCATAACAATTTTTCAACTACCATATAGCGCGGTGGAATTAAAGACCTTCACAATCCAGATGAAAATCTTAACCTATCTCCTGGATGTACTGAATGTGTTCACTATTCCTGGTCAGATTTTGTTGACTCACGAAATGCTCTTCTTGATAGATACCGCAGACCCGAACAGTGGCATGTATGCAGAGTAAGCATGTCCGCTTGCAGCGAGTCTCTTCATGATTGCTGAGGAACTGAGTCGGGTATGTTTCCCTCGTGAATTTCAGTAAGTTAGTGACGAGGAAGTGGGATAGAAAGGAGCAGCGGAGATGTTACGATTGTAACCGAGACTATCTTTGTGCATCCATGTTTGATGCTGTGCAAAAGTAGGAACTCCTCAACTTTTAAGCCCCTTAGTCCTTAGACAACTAGTGCTTTCTGATAATCCCGCCAATTTCAATGCACAAACAATATGCTTTGCTCATATATATATATATATATATATATATATTCTATCTGCTTGAGTGTCGTGAAATGTGACTTGGAGTTGACGCAGTGAGGGGTCTATTTCAAATGAGCTGCATTGTTTTGATGACCAGGTTTATTTGGATCATTGTTTGAAACAGAATCCTGACTATTTGGGAAGTTTCGTGCAGAATTCCGCAACAATGTTCAAACTAGAGAAGAGCTCGAGGAAGAACCCAAGCTCGAACTCAAGGCTACTATATGGTTCATCGGTAAATAAGACTAGAAGGAGAATCCTGGTAGAAGCTTCGACAGTTGATACTCTGCGGTAAGCATTTTCTTAGTCCAGACACCACTTATCCAAAAAAGTAGGGACATGTTTCGTATCGTTGCACACTTGAGAAGAAGAGCTGGAAAATGACCATTGTTATCAATCGTGTTGGTGAAATTTATTCATTTCATGGTGAAACTTATTCACGGCTGTGCACCCAAAGAAAGGAAACATTTGCACGAAGAGCACATAATTATGTTAGCCGCTTCAAAGGTTAACAATCAGCGTGCCTACTGATACTGGCAGAAATTAATTTGCGAATGCTAAGAAGTGCTTGGGCTCCAGAAGTCTCCACTCCATAAAATATGCTTCTCATTTTCTCTCAACAATGTCATGATGTCTTAGGTGATTCTCATGTTTCATCAAAGTAAATCAGTTTCTTAGGTGATTGTTATCCTGAGTTGGTGAAGCTGTATGAACTCATCATTCTTAGTTGCTAGGCAATACATCATTTCAATGTCTAATACTCTCTAAAATGTAGTAGGCATAACCTTGATGAAGTAGAGACCAGAGTCCAAAAGAACATTGTGGATTTGATCTCGTTGTTTTGATGCAATTAAGTTCTAAACATAAATTACAGATTTGATGATTGTGTCCCAAAGATTTGAGTGAAAGAAACTGAATTGTTTTGCTCAAATAATATTTGCATTATAAGGATATGAATGTTTGTTACACTATCTACCTGTTTTTGGATCCTTTATGAATATGTTTATACATGAAAGCATTCAATAATTAAAACATATATGCACATGATCTAAAGCTAATTATATTTTTGAACTAAAATCAATTTAGATAATGTTACATAGAATTGGATGTGTCTTAGTAGTTTTTGGAAAAATATTATTCTTTTTCTTGTGACTTACTATATTTCTATTATTTGTAGTTTGGTTACAAAAGAAGTTCAAATTTTATAATATTTTAAAAAATATTTGCTTCTTTTAATTTTTTTGAGCTTTTAAAATATTTTCTTATAATACAAAAGATCATCCACATGCTATTTATATCTACATATAAATTCAGTAGTAACATATGCATAGATTAATAAAATTAATTAATTAATTAATTATAATACTTTCTTTTTTGTAGTATATGTATAAATAAAAATATAATTTATTATTAGCTTCAAATATTGTAATAGAATAAATATGGTATATGTTTAATCTTATATTAAGGAGAATAACTTGAAGAATGTAAATAACCAAGTTAGATTTTTCTTAAAAAAAATGACAAAAAGAAGAAGTATATATATATATATATATATATATATATATATTGAAGAAGAAATCGGAATAGTTATTGTCAAAGACTAGTAATCTAGAGTCTCTTGAAACTAGACTAGAACAAGAAAGGAATTTATAAGAGTAAAGAAAGCTTCATTTGAATCCTTTATATATATTATCTAACTAAGAGCTATGTAGTAATATTCTATAGAACCTCCAATACATGTCTAATTTGTAGGACATGTTGTAATATATGTAATAGATAAAAGAAAGAAGAAAATATCACATTATAGAAGTTTTTTTAAAAATATTATAACAAATTATTTTAGAAATGTAGATAATAGTTAAGGAGGTAGTAAAATTAATTAGTATTAATACTATTTGTTTATAAAAAAATACTTCTTATTACTTTGTTAGATCATAAAAAAGATAAAAAAAGATAAATTAGTAAAAATAATATTACAAAAATCTTAAGGTATTAGTAAAAAGTAGCTTGTGGCAAATATTTCTTAGAAAAATATTAGTTTGATACTTAAGGAGGATTAATTTTGAATTAGGATTAAAACCAAATTCCAAGACACAAATTCGTATTGGACATTAAATGTGAGGTTTTATTATTGATTAGAGAATAAATTTCAAGAACAAAGAAGAGAAAGATTCTTTGGGCATTGATTTTGATTGAATTGAGTTTATAATGACTTTATAAGGGCTTTTCAAATTTAAGGTAGTTTTGAAATGACTTAAGTATTTGAGAAATTAAAAATAATAATAAAAAATAAAAACTCATACTTTAAACCATTTCATGAAATTTGTAGTAAATCTTAAAATTTGTGGATTATTGATTAAATTTAATTAAAAGTTTGTTGTAAATTTGAGCTTGATCAAAACGTTTATTTTAAGGTTATTAAAACTCAAGTAGATTGGAATCTCAAAATTATAAGATTTGTAGCAAATTTTTAATTAGATTGAAATGATTTAAAAAAAAATAATAATAGACTTGATTTCCAAAAACTAAGTAAAATTTGAGAGTGATTGGACATTAAAATCAAGAGATATTAGTGCTCAAAAATCAATATTAATGTTGGAAAAGGAAGTCAATTAATACTTGAGGTGATTATGAGGTTTATCTCTCATTTTGTAAGTTCAATCTTCTCTAAATTTTTTGTACTTGTTTTCAACTAAAAAATTTAGATGTATGCAAATTTTGAATTGAAATAAAAAATTAAATTATTAATTATTGATATTTTTATTTACTTTAGAATTTGATATAGATTTAGTTAAAATTACCTACGATTTAATTAAGATTTTGTTAGAAATTAATTAGAATTTTATTGGAATTTAGGATTTATGATTTAAATAAGATTTAAATAAGATTTAATTAAGATTTAGAATTCAATATTTGATTAATATTTTATTAAGATTTTATTAGAGTTAAGATTTAGGATTTCCTTAGTATTTGGAATTTAGGATTTTATTATGGTTTTATTTAGGTTTGTTTAGAATTGATTAAAATTTGATTAAGATTTGATTAAGAATTGATTGGAATTAGATTAGAATTTATTTAAAGTGTATTAAAGATTATTTAGGATTTATTTGGAATTAATTAGAATATGATAAGATATATCTAGGATTCTTTTAATATTGATAGGATGTACTTAAGATAATTAGAAGTTTAAATAAGTTATTCAATGTTGCTTAAGGATATTTTTAAATATCTTATGTATTTATTTGAATTATAAATCAAAATTCATCTAAATTTAAATTCTTTCATATTCAAATATGTAAAATATTTTTGTATCAGTTTCATATAACACAACAATGTATCTAATTTGTACAATAAGTTTCTTATATATCTATTACATATCTAATATATTGGCCTAGCTTTAAACCTATCAATCACCTACAAACATGTATAAAGTCAAATTTGTATCTATGAAGCTTTTAAGAAGCTACTCCACAAGATATTATTAAATTTTCCTACTTTTACTTACTTTTATATATTCAAATAATCTAAATAATTAGTAGAGTAAATATGTATGACTTTGATATTATCTCCGTCTTTTTTCTTCTTTTTATTTTAAGAACAAGTTCAATAAAAAGAAATAAATACATGTTAAACAAGTCCAAAATGCAACAAATTATATTTGTCAAATATTCTATATCTTTAAATTCTATCAATCTTGTTGTTCTTTGTGGTAAAAAATTTAATTGATGCATTGCAAGCATTAATTTTATTATTTTTTTTTGCATTTGTATTACTAAACTCTACATTTATACAACCTTTGCTATGATAATATAATATATATATATATATATATATATCATTTAATATAAGTAAAAAAGAGGACCTAAGAATAAAGAAAATTATATAAATAATATCAATTTAGAAGTAGGTAATTTATAACTTTTAATATGCTTATGTGTTATCAAGACAAGACAAAGCTCTAATATTGTAAGTAGATTTTTATCAATTTTTCAAAGACAAAAATTGGAGAAATGAAATGAAAAAATAAGATATTTTTCAAAGAAAGATAAAATATGTGGATATATATATATATATATATATATAAAGATATTAAAAAAAAATGGAATGGCAATTGCCAAAGAATAATAAACTAGAGTCTCTTGAAACTAGATAAAAAAAGAATTGACAAGAGTGAAGAAGGCCTCACTTTTGCATCTTTATATATTATCTAACTAAGATCTGTATAACAACATTCTATAGAATATCCGACATGTATTTAATTTGCATGGTAAGTTTTTTATATGTGCATCACATATCTAATTTGTATCACAAGTGATCAATATATATATGAAGTAATCAACTTCTTTGGCATAATTATCAATGCAAAAAATGTCACATCATTAGCAATGGTAAAAAATATATATATATTAAAAATGCATAATTAAACATTAATATAATAATTTATAAGATTGTATTCATATATTGTAGTATTGTAATTATTTTACTAGGCAATTAAGAAAATTTTCAATGAACTTGTAGGTATCATGAAGATATTTACATGTTGAGAAGCATTACGTTTTCATTAGAGAATAAACAAAATTCATTAACAATCTTATGCAAGAAGTAAATAGAATGTCATTTCCAGAAGGAAAAATTCAAGTAACAATAGAAATATACTAGAAAATCTATAAGCTCTTATATGATGGATAATTTAGATCTAAACCAAATTTATGTGTTTATAAATTGATTTTTAGGAGCATCATAAGAATTCAACAAATGTTTTCAGTCTCAAAAAATACTTTCAAAATATATATTATTTATAAGATATTCAAAATAAAATATAAATTTCTTGGATTTTATGTTTTTTTTAATATAATCATTCAAAAATTAATATTTTAATTCAATTTTAGTTCTTACATATATCAATGTTTTATTTTTTGTTAGAGTAATCATTTTTGATGTAGAAATTTAATTATTTTTTAAATTCTAGAATAGTTTAATATGATAATTTCATCACAATCTAAGTCAACACCTATCACAAATTTTGTCCTTGTATTAGTCTTAAGTATAATATGTGTATTTTGTCTTCAATACAAATATTGTGTATTCAATAGATATCAGACAATATTGTTCTTTCTAAACACATTTTTCTAGTACAATTAAAATATACTTTTGAGATGTGTCCATAAGATTTTTTATTGTCAAAAAAGATTTGTAAGATATAGATATAACTTGCAAAATTCTACATTATTACAATTGAAAGAAAGTATTAGTATTTATTGCACAATTAGTAGAACTTTTATCAATCTAATATATAATGTCTAGAATATACTTATGATAACATACACCAAAAAATTATCTATTATTATATATTATATTTCTAAGTAAAATATTTTATCAATCTTCAGTGTGTGGTTTTGTTGCAAACACATAATTTTTTTTTTCTCATTCTTCTTCTTAGAATTTAAATGTAAGTGTGACATCATTTTCAACAAGGAGTTGATATTGTCCAACCTAAGAAAATTATATTCTTAAGATTAAGACCATCTTGTAAGGATATAAATACAT